TTAATGGAATAAGACCATCACATTCAAGAAGTAACTCATTTCACGAGAGTATATCAACTCCATCAACGCCAACATCTCCAAGTTCGAATGGAAGTAACAAGAAAATAATAGAAAATACAGATTCGGTATTCCTCAAGGAATTATTAAAATTTTTTGCTGAAATGTTAGAATTAAGTGGTGATTCTGCTGTGATGATCTCTAATATCAAAGAATATTTGCACAATCGAATGAGAGAACACAAGTCAACATTTAAAACTCTGAATCAACATAAGGATAATCCACAATTCGGACCAATCATAGGTTTCTTTTACGAAAATTCAATCGGTACTGTTCAAGATAAACAGGCTGCCTTCGCCTCTTATCAGAAAGCTGCAGATAATGGTGATCCAATAGGCCAGTATTTTCTTGGTAAATGCTTTCAAAATGGAAACGGTGTGACAAAGAATGTATCTCGAGCAATGATGTACTATAAATTAGCCGCTAGCAGTGGGTATTCTCTAGCACAAACTAGAATTGATGGCTTGTCAAAACAAAGAAGGCCATCATCTGTTTTAAAAGTTAGTCCAAAATGATTTTTAGTGTGTTTAATAATAATTCTCAACAAAAACAAAAAAAAAAAAAAAAGAAAAAAAAAGTCAAATTTGATCATTTTAATTTTTATTCAATCTAGAAAAAAAAATTCTATTTGTTACCTTTCGCGTTTTACATCCCGAGTTTTCATTGTTTTTATATAGTGTAAAATACAGTTCATGTAAAAAAGAAAAACTCACTAGTTGTAAATAAAGAATATTTCCGTCAATTGCAAAACATTAAGTATTACTGTTTTATTGTATTTTGAGGGCAAGAAATATATTTGCGCTTTTGTCTTTAAAGAACGGGCGCGTCTTCAACATTTGCCGCTAAATTTACGTTCATTAACATTTACCGCGAAAAATTTATACTCTATTAAAAATCGTTTACTCACTTCCAGAAAAAAAAAATCACCTCTCTAAATATATATTCATAGCCTACGCATTTCTCACGCCGAAAGCTGAGACAGTAACGCATAATGTAATACGCATTATGCACATTATGTATATGGATTGCATAGGCATTTAGGCGTTTCTAATTCAATGTTAATTATAGTGAAATATTTGTGTTAAATGATTTAAAAAAAGATCTTTTTATTAAGAACAAATTTATGGAATTCTAGTTAGATTTCTTGACAAAAACGGGGGATGGCTAAAGCCCAGTGCGTTTATATGTTTTTGATTATTTAATTAAAATTAAGGTAAGGGTTAGTTAGGAGTTAAGGTCAGCTTATAGGTAAAATTGTCTTCCCGACATTTTTTATTAGTGCCCCGAGGCAGGTTTAGACACTCGTTTCTCGTATTTTTTGCGTTTTTCACTTTTTTTCTTTGTTTTTGTCTCGTGTTGATCCGGGTAAATCAAAATTTACGACTTGATTGGTTGTAAGTCACGTGAACGCGCCTTTCAGTCTTGCTGGTGCAATCGTGCTACAGGTATCCTACTGGCTTTAGACGATCTCCAAAAAACGATACTGTATATAATTTACAAAACTTTATATATAAATTTCTAATATGATGGATACTCTAAATGTTTGCCAATGAGATTGATATCCTTCTTCAATGTTTAAAAGAGGTACGTAATTTTATTGTCAATTTAGGAATAAATCGTTCAATTTTCGGAGCTCGCGTTATAATGACTTTAAATATGCAAGCTTCCTTACAATCCTCACTTCCGAGTATCGTCCCATTCTTTTTTTTCATACATTAGGAAATCAATTCTTCTTTCGTTTTTCGCGCACACAATTACACGATGATTAGTTAACACTTTATTAACGACACCTTGCAATGGGTTTGCGTACATACTTGCAGTACAAAAGCATGAACTAAAATTAGCTTTGAAGTTTTTCATGAACCTAAGTTCATTGAATAATAAAAATTCTATCTGCATAACTTATAATATGAGTAAAGGACAATAATTATTACACAGTTTCTATTTTAAACAAGTTCATAAATTGGGTTTTTAAACCAGTTTTACGAATTAGTTTTATAACTAGGTTTATGGACGAAACTGGTTTAAAAACTTCTTTATAGTTAATCCTTTTTCTTTGAACGAACTACTAAAAAAAAAACTATTTTGAACAGTTTCAAATCCGGTTCATTTGAGTCTATTTCCGTTTTATATGCTGTAGCGCCATAGATGCGATGGCAGTATATAGTTGCCAGAATGCACTCGGATAATGTGTACCAGATTTGTGGCGTAGACAAAAATTTTAAAATTCGCTACGGTTAGGATCAGGGTTATGAATTAGAGTGGAGTAAAATTGCCCAACGAAAGCTTTTTGTTAGAGCACTAAAGGTGGTTTTTTGTTTTTTTGAGTTATGAGCGATTTTTGGCAGAACGAACGTTTGTTTTGAATCTTCCTGATCGTGTTGCGTTACACCTAATCTTGAAATCTGATTTGTATCTCAGCGCGAGTGCAATTGTGCAATTATGATCACCCGGGTGGCCAACCCGTGGGTTACCTCAAAATGAATATTTTTTTTTTTTATATAATTAATTTTTATTGCAAGTGCTCAACATTATATGTAATTATTTAAAGAAAATCTAGCAAAAAATATTAATTGTTATCACTAAATATTGTCTCTAATTTAAGTTGGCTGGTATGATTTGATGTAATTTATAAGAAACTTTATTATAAAATTTTCAATTAAGACCTACAAAATCTTTCTTATACTATATAGAAGTTTTCTTATATCGAGAGTTGCTTGTATAACCCAGTCAGAAAAACCTGAAACGCTTTTTTTTTTTATTTAAAAAAAAAAACATTCGCATAAAAAATCGCCTTTCAAGCCCTAAAAAAATTTTCTTCAAGTAATTCGCTATATCAATGTAAAGCCGCACAGAGTTAATTTTTTGTTTGCATTACATAGCATTCGAAATTTCGGTCGGGTGGTCAGTTTTTTTTTGTTGTTAATATAAATTAATAGAATAAATTTTCATGTAGTCTCTTAACTTTTAAAGCTTTCTTGAAAAGGCGTTTTACTTGTTCAAGTCATGATTTCAGGTTCTTTAATAGATTTTCGAATCAGTTAAATAATAAGGTATTATAAACCTATCTTGAGTTTAAACCTATCGGTAATTTATTACAAGAATGATCCTTCCCGTAGTAATACGTACAAAATTTCGATTTATCAAAAATCGGCTAAGAATGGGCAATATGAAATTAGAAAAGATACTCAGAATAAACCCGGAGTATACATATTTATCGTAGACTTAGTTGCATGTAATTTAAAAAAAAAAAAATTTATTTATATATTGGGTCCAACTGATCAGGTCGCTAACCCTAAAATTGCCAATTAGAAGAGATGATCATATATACGTAGCTCATTTTTGTTAATCAAACAATCGTGATTCTAGAAGTTGAACCTGGGTAAGCACCACCCACAGGTAGGGATGTGAAAAGTTCGGATCGGTTCGACTCGACTCCAGAAGTCGAACGCCGAACTTAGACTCATTCTATCATGTGAAATTTGTTATTTATTCAGGTAATACAAAATTCAGAACGTTTAATTTTTGCAATTGGAAAGCGTGTACCAGGTTGGTGGCGTAGACAAAATTCTTAAAATTCGTTAAGGTTAAGGTTAAGGTCAGGGTTAAGAGCTAGAGAGAAGTAGCCTTAATAGTAGTATTGTCCAACGAAAACTTATGTTTTGAGTTATGAGCGATTTTTGGCAGAACGAACGTTTGTTTTGAATCTTGATTGTGTTATGTTACACCTAATCTCGAAAGCTGATTCTAAAAGTCTAGCATCACCACCCTAAAAAATTTCGCTAACTATAAAAACTGTTTCGCGATTAGTTTAGGGTTAGGGTCCCACCAGTAGATTAGTATTGGTTTTAAAGGACTATAGTTATAGTAAAATTTCACTAGGAAAATTTTTTGTTAGTACCCAGAAGGCACTTTCATAGGCAAAATTTTAAGCTACAAGCATTTTTTGATTTTTTTGCGCTTCTTTTACGTTACACGATCTTGAAATCTGATTGGCTAGCGAAATTAATTAGGGTGGGCTGTTGCTGATTCGTAGATCAGAAGAACTACGTCACCAACCTGGTACACATTTTCTGATTGTTTAAGTTTTCTTGAAAACTTTTAATACAGCAATAATATTGATATTTCAAGATGGTTTTGTTTAAAACTAATTGTATGTTTTACAATAGAAAAGGCATGCTTATATAGAATATTTGTAACTTGAAGTGCATAATAATTTACTGCAATAGAAGTTAAAATTGGAAAGTAGGTAGAATTATACTTTTACCATAAATTCTCGAAATAACAGGCAGGAGCATTAATTCAAAAATCATATCTCCTAAAAATAGTATAGGTGGTTTCGAAATAATACCCATATATGTTCTGAAATAATGCATATCTAATAGTAAGGGGAGTAAAATTTAAAAAAATACTCTGAAACTAAATTTGGTACTATATAAATCTACTTTTGAGCTTTAACAAAAGTTGTTCTTCAAATCAAAATAGTTTTAATAGTGTTAAGTTTATCAAGAGTGACTTAGTATATTGTTTACAATAACTTCTCAAAGTTTTGTAACTTATGTAAACAAAAATAAAACAAATTTGACAAAACTTCAAAAAGCTATTGTGAACAATATACTAGGTTATTTTTAATGAATTTTAATTAAAGTCTAAAAGTAGATTTACTTAGCATCAAACCTAGTTTCAGAGCATTTTTATTTATTTATTTTTATATAAAAAATATATAGTCAAATTTTATAAATACAATATGTACAGACTAGTCTAAAATATGTATTTAGGAAGATTTGCATTTAGAGAGAGCCAATCAAATTACAGCTTTTAATATTTGATCTACAGATTTGTATAACAAACTTAAATACTAACTTCTAATCGGTTATGTATATTTAAAAAGATTAGTATAATATAAAAAATCTTTTGAGCAAATATATATTTACAGAATATAGAATGTGGATTTAGCATTAATGATTTTATATAGCCAAAATAAAAAATATACATTTAGAAAAATATTATATTTATAGAAGTTGTATTTAGAGAGGTCTGACTATATTTAATTTTATATTTGTTTCAAAATAATACTCATATATGTATTTAAAATGATATATATATATTTAAAATAATATATATATATTTAAAATAATATATATATATTTAAAATAATGTGCAGATATCCCAACCACAACTCTTTCTGGTGATCTCTTGGTCAACAACAAAAAAAATCAAACTACAGTTAAAGTTATAGGAAAGTGACAAAGTAGATACTACGATACTCTTGGTTTATACTTTTATATTTGCTGTCGACTAAACTTATATATGTGAAACACCGAGGAGCAGGCATATAAACAAAAAGTGGGTCCAGTATCACGGTCAAGCTTCTTTTTTACAAGCTGTTATCAACGAAGTTCTTAAATGTGATATACTGAGGTGTGGGCATTGTGAACGGTTTGCACAGAGGTCAAGCCTCTTTTCAAGTTATCAGGATGGACTCCTTTGTGCGTTTGACATCCAAACTGGAGGA